AAGTAAAAGGGGCATAACTCTGCCAAAAATCATCGAACCATGACCAAATTCGAACTTGACCTGTATTTTCTCATGACATATCCATATGTCAAATTTGATTTGAATGTGTTGTACCGTTGGGGAGATAATGAACGGAAACTGAAAATTTCATATTATTTTCAAAGTAAAAAGGGGCATAACTCTGCCAAATATCATCGAACCATGACCAAATTCGAACTTGACCTGTATTTTCTCATGACATATCCATATGTCAAATTTGATTTGAATGTGTTGTACCGTTGGGGAGATAATGAACGGAAACTGAAAATTTCATATTATTTTCAAAGTAAAAGGGGCATAACTCTGCCAAAAATCATCGAACCATGACCAAATTCGAACTTGGCCTGTATTTTCTCATGACATATCCATATGCCAAATTTGAGTTGAATATGTGCAACCGTTACTAAGATAATGAACGGAAACTGATGATGACGGAATGACAGAATGAAGGATTGACGGAAGGACGGAATGACGGAAGGACAGAAGGACGGAACAGGGTAACACTATATGCCCCGGCCATTACATGGCGGGGGCATAAAAAATTACAAGCCATTCTATAAAATAGATCTTCAAAACTTAAGGACAGACAGACAAACCATATAATATCAAAGAACTTAAAAACTGAAGGAAAATCACTAAGCAAACATTCAAAATTGAAGGACAGACAGACGGACAAACCATTTGACATGACAAATATTGGACATAACAGACCAACAAAACAGACAGACAGACAGTCAGGCAGGCAAAACAATTAACGAACTTGATGACCCTTGATGACTCATTACTGATGAGTGATGATTTTAAACAATCCACAATAATTCATAAAACACTATTCCTTTCTTTGACAAACAACAAGGATTTCCACATCACATTTCCACATTCCAAAGCATTTAAAATTTAATGACCCTTTGACCTTTTCTTACCTTTTCAATATTCTAAAATCAGGCTTACATTTGCATCTATAAATAGATTTTGCCAACTTGATTTACTACCTAGTAGCTAATTTGGTGGTTCAGTAATATAAATATTATGATGGCCCCAAGTTCTTCACCAGAAACAACTGCTTTTCAGTGTAGGAAATTATCTATAGTCAATACTTATTTCTAATATTAAATTTGAGCATAGAATATCTTTAAACAATAATTTGAAGAAATGCCATGACCTGGGGCCTTTAAGCTTTCACTTGAACGGGCCAATCAAATTAATATGAGCAAACTTGTTAAAAGACTACCTAAGAATGCTACAGACAAAGTTTGGTGATCATCCATCAATAATTTCTGTAGAAGCAGACGTTTAAAGGTTATTCTATTTTTTACTTTAGCGGCTCCTAAAAGGGGCCAATCAAATTAATATGAGCAAACTTAATAAAAGACTACTCAAAAATGCTACAGACAAAGTTTGGTGATCATCCATCATTTAGTTCTGTAGAAGAAGATGTCTAAAGGTTTTTTCTATTTTTAGCTCTAGAGACCCCTAAAAGGGGCCAATCAAATTAACATGAGCAAACTTGATAAAAGACAACCTAAGAATGCTACAGACAAAATTTGGTGATCATCCATCGGTTAGTTCTGTAGAAGAAGATGTCTAAAGGTTTTTCTATTTTTAGCTCTAGAGACCCCTAAAAGGGGCCAATTAAAGGAATAATTATGAGCATTCGAGTTATATGAGCATACTTGATAAAAGACTACCCAAGAGTGCTACAGACAAAGATTGGTGATCATCTATCAATTCGTTTTGTAGAAATAGACATTTGAAAGTATTTCAATTTTAGGCTTTAGCGGGCCAATCAAATTAATATAAGCAAATTTGATAAAAGACTACCCAAGAATGCTACAGACAAAGTTTGGTGATCATCTATCCATTAGTTCTGTAGAAGGAGAAGTTTAAAGGTTTTTCTATTTTAGCCCTAGAGACCCCTAAAAGGGGCCAGTCAAATTAATATGAGCAAACTTGATAAAATACTACAAAAGAATGCTACAGACAAAGTTTGGTTATCATCCATCAATTAGTTCTGTAGTAGAAGACGTTTAAAGGTTTTTCTATTTTTAGCTCTGTTGAACCCTAAAAGGGGCCAATTGAAATGACATGAGCAAATTTAAGTGTGACTGTCACAAGGATGGTACAGACCAAATTTAAAGTAAATCTGCCCAGCAGTTTCAGAGAAGAAGACGATTGTTGACGCATGATGCCAGATGCCAAAGCATCCCCCTTTGATACTAATACCTCACCCTGAACCTTCCGTTCTGGTGAGCTAAAAAGTCTAGACATGTATTTTTTTCCTAAAAAAATATTGATGTAAAGTTTAAATCTACCTTTTGTTCCACTATTTTTTGATAACAAAACTTTGCTTGCCACAACTAAATATAAATATACCCATACAACCAGTGCTGACCAAGATAAGCTGGTACACCCAAGCGTCTGATCATAATCTGCACTGTTAGCTTTTCAATCAGTACATATACAGTTGACTCTCAATAAGTCAAACTCGCTTTACTCGAAATTCCGCGTTAGTCGAAGAATTTCTAAAGTCCCGTCAAATTTCCTTCTTTATCTTTGTATTTTAACTCCGCTTAGGTCAAATTTTGACTTACCGAGACTCCTGTTTAGTCGAAAAGAAAATTTTGACCCGTCAATTAAAGTCCAACATATTTTCATCTCAATTAGTCGAAGTGTGATTTTATCAGCCGACTGATCAAAGGTCGGAGACATCAAGGTGAGATGTTGTCACTCGTGATTAACACGTTCCATAGAAATTTTAAATTTACGGTCATCATATATTATCAACACGTCGTATAAATGGCTTTAATCCGTTTCAGCACTTAATTGGTTTTAACAGTTAGATAACTAAATTAAAATTTGATTACATTTCTTTAAGAAAGTTGACTCGTGCCAGTCTGACGGGTGTTAGTCAAATAATAGCCTAGGAATTGATGTGTGTTATCAACGTAAATGACATTTGTATAATTAATGTTCCGTCATTTTGCATACATTAATTTGTACTTCCGGTTCACGATAGTTGCTACTTTCGTTTTCGTCCGATGATCAATTAAATCAAATATAATTGTGTGTTTATTTTTCAATATTAATATACATGTATTAAATTTTGAATGATATATTTTTGTTTATTTATAATTCGTAGTTGTTAGTGATTTAACGTCATTTCAACGGTTAAATATTGCAGCATTGCCGCTAACAACAATAACAAACCTACTTCTTTGCACATTTAATCAGGCACATGTATATACATGTACGAATGTCAGCGTAATGGCGACAGTTCCACGTTACTCGAATTCCGTTTCTCTCGAAGTAAAATGCCCAGTCCCTTGGATTTCGAGTTACCGAGAGTCAACTGTATATATATTTTTGAAATTTTCCTTAAACTAATAAATGGTTTTGTCCAGATTAAAAGATGGATGAGTCCATATCAAATATTTAGCGTGGCTAGGTTAAAAGCAAGGAATGTTTAGGATAAAAAAAATAATTTATGTAACTTACATAAATAAAAACTGATTAACTGAAACAAATAAATCAAGTAATTTTATCTTTATTTCCTTTTATTTTTTTTTATTTGTTTCTAAACATTCAACTCACTTTTGTAATCTTTATAAACTGTTTGTATTTGTTTTATAGTTAGGTTTCAATCAGTTTTACTTCTAGTACTAAAGTAACTTTTTTTGTGGTACATGAAGTTCACTATCTTGGACTAGCATGAATTTGTAGGACCATTTGGTTTAATTTCTGGGACTGGGGCAATATCGAGGACTATTTGGTTTAGTTTCTGGGACTCAGGCAATTTCGAGGACTATTTACTTTAATTTCTGGGACTCAAAATTTTTTTGGGTCATTTTCAGTGAATATTATTAAAGTTTAATATCTGGGACTCAATTCACCTGCAGTTAAATACCCAGTTTAAAATCTAGGACAAGAATAATTTATAATATCATTCAGTTTAATTTCTGGGTCTGAATTTTGATAATTTCTAGGACTGTGGTCATGGTCAGAAACCAGTCAAAGTCGGGAACAATACTGTCTAAAAACTAGGACTGTGATCAGTATTTACCTTCCCATACTAAAATCTTAAATGGACTTGTCCATCTTTCGATATAGATGAAGCCATTTATCATTCATTTCAAGGGGAAATTTTCAAGATATATACTGAATGAATAGTGAACAGTGCAGACCATGATTAGATGACACAGATGCATGTTGGTTTGCACTGGTGGCATGGTATTAAAGAATTGTTGACTTTCATCTGTGACAGTAAAAAAAAATTTCAAAATATTATATAAATACAGACTAAATAGTGAATAGTGTATTTTAAGAGGAAATTCAATATATGTTTTGACTAAATAGTGATCAGTGCAGACCATGATCTGATGACACAGATATGCTGGCTGATTTTGGTCTGCACTGGTTTTATGGGTAGATTTTATAGCTGACATTTTAGTGGCTAAAATTACAGGATTGTTGACTTCATTTTCTGTGACTATGGAAAAAAGTATTACAAGGCAACTTATAGGTAATGTTTTAAGATTCTAAGCATTTTGGTATACTAATGATAACAAAGTAAAATAAACAAAATATATCTGTAATACAGAAAGTTTTATGTTTAATTAAAAATTATGTTAAGTTGTTAAAATTGTCACTCTTTGCTTGTGTAAAAAAATGCAGTTATGTAAGATACAAATCATTTATCTTTACTGCCACTGACATTTTGACAAAGTTAAAATCATTGCCTAACTTTAAGGGAAATGTAAATAAATTGCAGTGAATTTGACTTCAACCTAAAACCTCACCAAGAGCTAGAGGTCCATATATGATCTTTCAACCTACTTAATACATGTATATAAGATTACTGAGTCAATTAATCAAGGTGCTAGACAAAACTGTAGGTAATTTAAACAGGAGGATGAAAGAACTGACTGGCAACTATATGTTCCAAAAAAAAAAAAAAGATTCAGGAGCATATAAAATCATAATATACATATTACATGTTAGTTTACATTTTTATTCTTACCATTCATAAATCAAAACATACCTTCTTATACATGGTAGAATCATCAGACGTGTATCAAACCCAAATATTGCAAATACAACCAACCCCTGTCAAATAAACACAACAACAACATAATTTAAAATCTAAACAATAAAAAAAACTTAAATATTCCAACACAACAATTTTACTAAAATTGTATCTAAAACAAATAAGTCCAAGAGATGGCATGGTTTTATTGAAATTCAATGTGTCACCAAATGTGACATTGCAATCTCAGCACATACTGTCTGTGTTTTTGTTATTTTGTTGTTGTTGTTTTGTTTTTATTCCCGGGCTTATATACAGTCATGTACAGGACTCACAAACCAAGTCTGCAATTTTCATGAAAGTTTGCTGTTTTAAATGCTTCCCAGGGATCACTTTTATCCAGATAAATTAAGTAAAGAAACTTAAGATGGCTGCCAATATAGCTGCCAAAACCAACAAAAAAAAAAACAACAACATTTTGTTTCTATACTTTTAACTTAAAAAATTATAAACCATTTAATTATTATGGCACATTATCAGACAAAATATGACTTAAATACGTTTATCACATAATAATGGATTGTAATAAAGCCATTTAATAAAGGTGATATTTCACTAGTGTAATAACACTTTGACCTGACGTCATTTGCGTTAAATATAAACATAAAGAAAAAGCTAATAGGTGCGTATATTCACTTAGATTCAATACTAAATTAATTGAACTAGTTGAATCAATAATATATTGCTCTCCAGAGGCTCGCATATGATTTTATTCAACTCATTCAATAAATTTAGTATTAAAGGAATAGGAATGGTTGGATTGATGTCTGTCTAATATAAATATTCATCATTTAAAAAGAGGTACCATGACAGTTTTTCTGTTGACATCAACCCTATAAGTGAGAAATTCGTGTTTTAAGACACTACTTTTTACTTGAGAAATAAGTTCATGGGCGCCGCCATTTTGGCGTTCTGTCATTCTCGCGAGACAGACGAGACCGAGATTGTGACGTGTTATACCCACTTCCGGTATAGGTGTACACGCTGGTACAACTGAAATATATCTTGGTGAAGAACTTATTAATCTTATTGCGTACATTATATATTATTTATGAAAACATCATATGGAACTGAATTGCTTTAATTAATTAATTGAAGACGCCCGCGACATTAATTATCATTTGTCCGATTTTCAAGCTTGATTGATGATCCCACCACATGATTTAAGCAATGACTGCTTAATTTTCAAAGATAAACCATTAATTTAATTTGGGTACTATGAATTGACGATATATCCTTTTATTTTGTACTTAATTTTCGCTAGACAAGCTGTCCGAATAGGGTACATCGCCGGTCATGTATCTTTTTTTCAGCGTAAAAATATCAACTAAATCCAATATGCAAAGATCTACTGAGGACGCAATTTTCCGCCATTGACGCTAAAAATGAGAATGGTGAGAATGGCGCAGGAAAATCGGCAGCCAGACTAATATCGTAAGAAAACAAAACTGCCCGTTAGGTTATTTAGGCACCCAGTCAAAACTGGTACCAACAGCAAAAGATTGCCCATTCCCTGTAATTACAATGTACGCATATTCTCGGGTTTATCCAGTTCCCTATAACATTTTTACACGTTATCTACTTACCCAATTCCTTTCCCACACAGATACGCATTTCTACTACCTGTAAATTTAATCCAATAAAACAAAAAAAATCATAATCTACTTAATATTTAAAATGATTATTGGTAACTGAAAAAAAAAATATGTTGCTATTTTATGACATGCTGTTATTTACAGCATAATTCGACGGTGTGGCACTTAATTTCCCCTAAGGTCATTCAGGTCACCGATGAAGCGTAAAAAAAATAGATGTCTATTTTCGTCATTAGAATATTTAACAAGGGTAATTAACCAATCAGGGCAACATTGTGCATGATCAAAAGGGGTCTGTCGGCACAGAGGCATACAAGGAGCAATAAAAATCGTCAGTACACAGTGTGACAGGAACAGTAGGTGCAAATAAGGATCAATTAAAATGGACAATGCACAGTATTAGACATAAGTAGTAAGAACCAGCAGTTGTGTGAATAAATTATGCAAATTAGATTTTTGAGCAGCCAATAAAAATGTTTTGCCTGCAATTCATATTAGGCAACGATTACGCCGCAGCATCATACGTTGACAGACATGTTAAAAAATTTACTTTTCAAAAGAGTTGCTTATATTTTTGAAATGTGTACATCAATTAGATCTATAACATATGTTCACACCTTTAAATTTGAAAGTCAGAATCAAACTGCAAAAATTTAATTACATGTACTATTAAGAACACGTTTTAGTAGGATTTTTATAATAATGATAATTATCGCTGTTCAATAATTAACAGCCAATTATTCGTTGGTGCGTTCGTTTATTTAATTGCATTATTTTATTGTGAAACTTTGTTAAATAATAACATGTGTATTTATTAAATCTGTGAAATATTGTTTAATTACATTAAGATGAGACTTCAATGAACATAGCATTGTTTGGAGTAACGGGCATCACTGGCCTGAAGTGGTGCGACGGGTAGACGTTGATTTTTTTTTGTTTCTTTATTTATTCATTTTTTTGATATTGTTACGTATTTTGAACCATAAAAAAATTTCCTTCTGTGAAAATTTAATTGTCTAATCAATACTTAATTATATTAATATTTCCCTACGATTCTACTAGATTTATCATAAAACTAAAGATGTGGGGAAATGACATCACGCCCACCTGTTTTTAAACGGCCAATACACAAACATGGCCGCGCTTACTGATTTGTAGAAATCGATGATTTAGCGATTTAAATTTTGTTATCATTCGTTTAATATTATTATTTGGCGGCAGAAAATTTGCAGATTTATTATTTATAGTATACTTTTTCTGAAATCAAGTTTTTATACTAACCTTGTCTTTCCCTTTAAACCTACACTCATTCAATACCCTCAATTTAACTCATTGTCTCAGGAGGAAAAACAAATTATTAAAAACTAACACTTGACCTACTGGAGCATATAAACAGATCAATCAACAGATGACAACCATCAGAAAATATAGACTCAACATACCTGGCCATAGTTTAGGAAACTATCTAGAAACTCTAGTTCCACATATATCCCTGACTTGCTATTGTTAAATAATCTCCATAGGCAGATAAATAACCCCTGAAAATAATACATATACATATTCATTTACAAAAACATATAAAACAAAGAAACTTTGACACTGAATTCTGCAGGTCGCCAGATAAGCCAATTTTTTTCCCAAGAAAATCAACTTTGAGAAAAACGTACTAAGATGTTAAAGGCCCATATTTGTAAAATTCCTTAAAAAAATCAAACATGTGTTGAATAATTTTTTCAAGTGTGCTGCCTCCAGATTCACGCTTATTTTCATGAAAATTTTTAAAGTGTATTTAAATGTATATAAATGTGAAATAACCAAAAGGAAGCAATTTACACATTGTCAATGGCACAAACCACATAAATTACCAACAAGAGGGCCATGATGGCCCTGAAGTCGCTCACCTGTATATAGGCCCCGTAGCGGGGCCAGTTTAAACCCCAATGCTTTTATTTGAACAAACTTGGTAGACACCCATAAGAAGATGTTTCATGCTTAACATCTAAGGTCTAGCTGGTCAAGTTTTTTTCTTTAAACATATAGTTAAAAACAATGACACACCTGGGGCAGGGCCAGTTTGGACCCAAGGGCTTTTATTTGAACAATCTTTGTAGACACTTACTAGAAAATGTTTCATGCTTAATATCTGAACTCTAGCTATTCGGATTTTTCGAAGAAGATTTTTAAGTTTTTGCTATACACATATAAGGAAAATCAATGACCCCCGGGGTGGGGCCAATTTTGACCCCAGGGCTTTTATTTGAACAAACTTTGTAGACACTTACTAGAAGATGTTTCATGCTTAATATCTAAACTCTAGCTATTTGGGTTTTTTCAAAGAAGATTTTTAAGTCTTTGCTATACACATATAAGGAAAATCAATGTCCCCTGGGGCGGAGCCAATTTTGACCCCAGGGCTTTTATTTGAACAATCTTTGTAGACACTCACTAGAAGATGCTTCGTGCTTAATATCTAAACTCTAGCTATTTGAGTTTTTTCAAAGAAGATTTTTTAAGTTTTTACTATATGCATATAGGGAAAATCAATGACCCCCTGGGGCGGGGCCAATTTTGACCCCAGGTCTTTTATTTGAACAAACTTGGTAGACACCCATTAGAAGATGTTTCATGCTAAATTTCTTAGCTCTAGCTCTTTGGGTTCTTTAAAAGAAGATTTTTTAAGTTTTTACTATATGCATATAGGGAAAATCAATGACCCCCTGGGGCGGGGCCAATTTTGACCCCATGGCTTTTATTTGAACAAACTTGGTAGACACTCACTAGAAGATGTTTCATGCCAAATATCTAAGCTCTAGCTCTTTGGGTTTTTTAGAAGAAGATATTTAAAGTTTTTTTCATTTGGTCATTTGGTTGCCATGGCAACCAGAGTTCTGCATGGAATTAAATTCTTTGAACAATTTTCAAAGGTGACCACCAAAGGAACATTCCTGTGAAGTTTGGATGAAATTGGCTCAGTGGTTTATGAGGAGATGTCATTTAAAGTAAAAGTTTACGGACGACGGACGAAAAGCGATCACAAAAGCTCACCCTGTCACTTTGTGACAGGTGAGCTAAAAAGTGGCCAAGACATGCATAAACAGCCTTTACTGAGTTAGTAACGCAGTAGAAATATAGTTGTTAATTCTCAAAAATCAGTCATTAACTGCACAAAACATTATAATATTACTTGAATCTTGAATCATTTTACTTTATCTAAACTCATAGTACATACATGTATTTCTCATATTTGATTTTATTGAAATATTTTTACTCATCTGGAGGCATGCAGCTTTAATGATGGATTTAGAGTCTGTTATATGTTTAAATACAGACGATAGTAGCACTGAGTTCACAGTCTTGTTAAGGTAGCAAAATGTAAACAAAGTATTATTTTGTGTGGAAGTCACTTTAATTAAAGCATGAAGAAAATTTATTTGTTTTCCGTATAAGATTGAAATATATCTCATTCGTGAACACTAGCTATTCTATTTTCACTCGAGACTGTGTACGCCATTCGTGAAAATATTGCATCTGGTGTTCACTTGGTGCACACATCTATATGTCATTATCATGTCTGCCATAAAGATGGGGTAAAGTTAAATAGCTCACCATAAACATTGAGACTTGTAGGAACAATAGTAGAATGAGGAATTTCCCAGTTTGATACTCATCTGTTTCCTTGCGTTGTCTTACTTTCACCTCAACCTCTCCTGTTTCACCAACCTAATGTTTCAAAATATAATGTTTAAATTATTTCATTCTTCCAAAATGTCACATAGTTTTAGCTTTGTTAATTTAGACTTGCTTGTCTATGTTTTTTGGCTAATGTCTTTTGTGTCAAGAGTTTCAAGTCAAATCAACAAACTAGTAGCTTAGGTCATATGAGAACAATATAAGGTTTGTTGGTAGGAAAACCAATTAAGTCAGAGCATTTATTAGGGGAAGAGGTGGCTTAAAGATGGTTTCTTCTAATGAAAAACAGCCCAAGCAAAACCATAAGGCAGAACCTCTCAGCCAATGATCAAACTATCTAGGAATGAGTTCAATTTAATATAAAGACAGTCTTACACCAAATTCGTGGTTAATCGGCAGAATTGATCTTAAAATCCATATATTCAGTGCAGTTATGGGTTAAAGACTATTTAATTTTAAAGGAATTAACCTATTATTGCACTACGGTAATGGAATGAGAAAGATATCCAAGTAGGTAGCAGAATGTTGATGGATCTATTTCAAGCTTAGCATCTTCCAAAACACAGAATGTAGTAATAACTGAAGGACCTTTCACACTAACTGAATTGAAAGGTTGTTCAAATTGTGGCTGTGTGATTCAAAAATATAACATTACAGTAACGTCAAAGGAAAATAATTGCAAAAGCACTAAATAACAAATACTCCATCTTACACGCAAGAAATATTTTCGAAATTAATGAAAGATTAAAAAAATAAACAAAGAACCTGTATATTTCTACTTGAAGCATTATAACATCGTAAAAGTCCGGCACATTGTCGTCTCTGCTGATAACTACAAGTTCCATTACTACACTCGTATGACTGTATTGTATCACAGTACGAGTCATCACTTGTTGAAGATGACGATGAACTACTTTCAGATTTTGGCGTGTCTTTAGTAGCGGTAACTTTCTTAGTGTTACGATTCACACCATTTCGTTTGGACCGATTTGGTTGCATGTTTTCAGGAAATGGAATTATATCTTCAATATTTGTAGAAGTCTGCCTAACTGAAATAATAATTCAACTTTATATTTTGTTATTTATAATTGTCACAAAGAAATGCTTAAGAGAAATATCTGAAAGATGGTAGTTTTTGAGTTATAATGTTAACTAATTACTCTTCCTCATGTCACAATTTGATTTTCATATTTGAAACAGAATAAGCTTAATAATAATAAGAATAATTTCTCCACAAGTGACTGACTTCTAATTCCATATGATATCCGAAATAAATTAGGTAAATGTAATAAAAAATTACTGATTTGAATACATTATTTTGATTCTAACATGGTATCAACACATAAATGCTGCCGTTCCTAATATCAAGCTAAATGGCGCCTTTTTTTAATTTCGCACTTATTTTCAGTACATTGCATTTCTTTTAAGTTACCTCACATGTCAAAAGGATATGTCACATGTCTAAATATAGAACGTCAACAGTGATTTTATTGCATAATAACACACACTTTTGATCCTTCTGCATTCAAAGGAAAAATGTAGATCATGTTAGAATGTAATAAACAATACCTGTATGTTTGTATAAATTAACCTCACAGTCCTCTGTGCAAGCAGAACACGACATTGATTTGTATCTCCTATTGTCATTATTCACATCTTCATCAGGTAGAAGCTTGGTTCTACTGCTACTCTGTGTGTGCTGAGGGCTTGGAATTTCCTCATCTTCTAAATAAAGAACAATTCAAAACAATCGAAAAAAAATTTTGTCCCAACATAAAACAAACAAACACAACTGTTACTTGCATGCATTAATAATCAAAATATTGTCATAAACTGTGAACTCATTTAATTTAATGCCCATTCATTTAATGGGCATGAAATTTCAAGGTTTTGTCACAAGAACATTTTCATGGGTTCTTAAATTTGTGGCCTGTCTATTTCTCCAAAATGTAAAATGTAAATAATGCAATGCAAAATGATCTTACAGCAGATGAAATGACATTTTGTTGGATTTTATATTCTTAGATTGACCTATTCACGAAAACCACGAAAATTAGTAAAATTAGTGCCCCTCGTATAATAATGATTTTGCAGTAATTACTCACATTTACATCAAGTATTAGCAAACTAGCTTAAATACTATTAAATATTATATTAAGTTATGACATACTACATCTCTTGAACCAATATCCAACTATTTCAATTCAATATGCTTTTTTAAACATCCATAATTTTTATGATTGGCACTTCATGAAATGTCAATTCATATCCATGATATTCATCATTACATTATGATTTCATTAAAATAAAAGCACTTTTACAATTTTTAACCCAAATATTGAATTTTTTTTTATAACCAGACAACCATAACTTTAACAGGGGACTAATATCATGTCTATCTGTAACACCGTACACTTACATCAAATTATTTTTAAAATAAAGTGTTTAACTGTAAAGCATTTTGACAAAGAATTTATCATTTTAAAATTTCAGTCTTTAAAACTGATAAAGAATTTCTGATAGATCTGTAAAAAAAATTATCTTGACCTTTTTCATTGACCTACTTCTTATTGTTATTTTATATCTGTGAAAAAGTTACTTGGACCCTTACATTGACCTGCTTTTTATTCTTATAACAAGATATGTTTGTAAAACATGTATGCCCCCTATCGGCAGCCAATTAGTCATGTGATCTGGTTATTATGCATGACTTCTGACCCAGTGAACAAAAAATTAATAATAAGGGTTATCTAGTATCTACTGATCATGACTAGTCACAAGGTAATAATTATTGTGACCCCATAGGTTGTGTGCAGCAATGTAATGTATTTCAAATCTTACCAAATAATATATGCATAAATTTTATGAATCATGTGGGCCTCATTAATGACAGCCAAGTTGTTATATTACATAAGACCTTCAAATGTGTATACCAAAAGCATTTTTAGTTTAATATAAAAATATCAACCAAGGCAACTTGAGTTGTTGAGTTATTGGTCAGAAACCGTCATTAAGTACAAGGTAAATATGACACTGACCCCTTGACCCCAAAATCAATACTGGTCATGACCAATCATCATACCAAGTTTGAAGTTCCTAGGCCTAAGCGTTCTTACGTTATTGATCGGAAACCGTTTTTACTTACAAGGTCAATGTTACCTTAACCTTTGACCCCTTGACCCAAAAATCAATAGGGGTCATCTGCTGGTCATGACCAATCATCATACTAAGTTTGAAGTTTCTAGGCCTAAGTGTTCTTAAGTTATTGATCGGCAAACCCTTTTTACCTACAAGGTCAATATGACCTTGACCTTTGACCCCTTGACTCCAAAATCAATAGATGTCATCTGCTGGTCATGACCAATAATCATACTAAGTTTGAAGTTCCAAGGCCTAAGTGTTCTTTAGTTATTGATTGGAAACCGTTTTTACCTACAAGGTCAATGAGACCTTGACCTTAGTCCCTTGACCCCAAAATCATTAGGGGTCATCTGCTGGTCATGACCAATCATCATACCAAGTTTGAAGTTCCTAGGTCTAAGCGTTCTTTAGTTATTGATCGGAAACCATTTTTACCTACAAGGTCAATGTGACCTTGATTTTTGACCCCTTGACCCCAAAATCAATAGGGGTCATCTGCTGGTCATGACCAATCATCATACCACGTTTGAAGTTCCTAGGCCTAAGCATTCTTTAGTTATTGATCGGAAACCGTTTTTACCTACAAGGTCAATGTGACCTTGACCTTTGACCCCCTTGACCCCAAAATCAATAGGGGTCATTTGCTGGTTCTTTAGTTATCATTTGGAAACCATTTTGTCTACGGACCGACGGACAGACAAATGCAAAGCAATATACTCCCTCTTCTTTGAAGTGGGGGCATAATAACATATTGCTTTATATCTGTGAAAAAGTTACCTTGACCCTTACATTGACCTACTTCTTTTTGTTTAATAACATATTGCTTTATATCTGTGAAAAAGTTGCATTGAATCTTACATTGATCTACTTCTTATTGACCTACTTCTTATTGTTATTATTACATATTGCTTACCTGGGAGAAGTCTATCTGTAACTGACTCCTCATCACCTTGACCTCTATGTCGTGACCTTTTGACCTTTGACCTGACCTTGATGTCATGTTTAGCTTTATGATGGCGAGAATTTCTCTGTTGTAGCACGAGGAACGTGATATTGATAACTGAACAAACACTCAATATAACAACAGATAGCACAGCCTGTAATAAAATGTTAAATATATGTGGTTTATAAATCGTCACTTTAAAGCAGTAACATGTTAACTTTTATTTAGTTATATAAGGGGTTAACCTGTTACTGCACTAAAGTGATAATATAATTATTATGACCATTCAGCAATAGAAAAAATATATTTAGCAAATATAACAGTCAAGTATACAAATTTAAAACCTTCTAAATAACGGAATATCTTAATGATAAATCACACACATATTGATGTAAAATATTTCTGTCCAATCTTTCAAAACTTGCATTTCTGACCTGCCCAATTAATCACCACTAACATTCCAGTTAAATCTTTTGTTTGTTTCTTTTGTTTGGTTTTACATAATTTAGGTTATATGCCACCGAAACAGAAAAGATGAATTTGTCTAACCTCTGGTGTTACAAACTTTAAAGCAATACCAGGAGTCAAAACCATGTCACCTGATGGAGCTAAGAGATACACAGACTCCTGTAATTTGAACCCATTTTTCGCCACTTACAATCACACAGGGATAAACAGTGGCTGCAATTTTGAAGCCTCAACCATTAAAAGCAACCCCTCAGCCACAAGAGAAGTTTAATCTCTTTTCACTAACATAGCCATCTAATATTTCATTTAAACTTTTAACTGTTGTAAATGGTGTAAACTTTTCATTACCATTAAAATTCCTCTCCAAAATTTTACCACCAACATTCATAAGATGTTCAACTTAACACAACAGAAATTCAATTGTTTTAATGCTGACATTAGCATACTAAATAGATGTACAACTGATGAAATTTAATGTTTGAAAAGAAAATCAAAATTTTATATAGGATTTTCGTACATAACAGAGAAATTTCAGCATTAACATAACAAGCAAATTCGTTGAATTTATATCCCCCGCCGAGTACTGGTTATTATTAACACAACAACTGAAGACATAAGGCTTTATTTATATATTAATCATGGCATAAACTGTAATATTCTTTGAACTTGAAGCCTTGTACCTTCAAACAAGAAGAATTTTTAAGTTTTCACTATATACATATAAGGAAAATCTATGACCCCCTGGAGTGGGGCCAATTTTGACCCTAGGGCTAAAATTTGAACAATTTTGGTAGAGGACCTATAGGTTATATCATATACCAAATATCAAAGCTCTAGGCCTTGTACTTTCAGACCAGATTTTTTAATTTTGCATTTTTGAAACTCCTTTTCTGGCCCTGTGACCTACTTATGCAACAGACCGGAACCATTTGATCAACTTTGGCAGGGGACCACCCTAGGATCATTCCTGTAAAGTTTGGTTGCTGTGCAGTCATTTGTTTCTGAGGAGATGTTGTTTAAAGAAATTGCTGACGACGCACGACGAAATTTTCAAATATTTTTAAATGTTATTGTAACAAATCATTTTAATTCTTCTTTAATAAAAACTAGAAATGTGTCCATAGGACACGGGTGCCCCCACCGCGTCACTGTTCTGTCAATCTTATGACTCTAGGTCAAATATTTTTTGAAAACTAAAAATCTTTTTACTAAGTAAAGGGCAAGAACTTTACAAATACTGAATAAATCCCCAAGCAAACCCAAAGTTGAAAATTGCAAATTTATACTACTGTAATTCAAGGGCAATAACTCTAACAAAACTGAAAAAAATCCACATGCAAAGTCCCAGGTTCATAGCTTCACAGTGAGGTGAATCATTATTCCTGTAATTTAGTGATGTTGATCATTATTCCTTTTAAGTTGGTCGATTCTAACTCAAGCACTCAAGAATCAAATAACAACATAATGAAACAGTTTTTACTAAATCAAGGGAAATAACTCTACAAATACTGGATAAATCCACAAGCGAAACCCCAGGAACAAACTAAATATGCTGAGCAACTTTCCAATAAGGTTTAATGACTCTATGTCAAATCCTTTTTGAGTTACATGCGACACATGTTGAAAATTGCAAACATTTTCTAAGTCAAGGCAATAACTCTAAAAATACTAAATAAATCCAGATGAAAATACCCAGGTGCACAACTACAAATGCTGGTCAACATTCCTGTAAAGTATCATGACTCTAGGTCAAATACTTTTTGAGTTACATGCGACACAAGTTGAAAATTGCAAAATTTTACTAAGTCAAGGGCAATAACTCTAAAAATACTAAAAATATCCAGACGAAAATACCCAGGTGCACAACTACACATACTGATCAACATTCCTGTAAAGTTTCATGACTCTAGGTCAAATACTTTTTGAGTTACATGCGACACAAGTTGAAAATTACAAAATTTTACTAAGTCAAGGGCAATAACTCTAAAAATACTAAAAATATCCAGACGAAAATACCCAGGTGCACAACTACACATACTGATCAACATTCCTGTAAAGTTTCATGACTCTAGGTCAAATACTTTTTGAGTTACATGCGACACAAGTTGAAAATTACAAAATTTTACTAAGTCAAGGGCAATAACTCTAAAAATACTAAAAATATCCAGACGAAAATACCCAGGTGCACAACTTCACATGCTGATCAACATTCCCATAAAGTTTCGTTGAATTCCAGCCATTAGTTGCAGAGAACTACTCCAGAAACGAAATTCGGACGGACGGATGGACGGACGGAAGGACGGACGGACGGACATCGCCAAAACTATATCCCCCTCCTGATTCCATCGGCGGGGGATAATAATTATTTGGACACATACCTGATCTACCCCATAGTGAAACGATGGATCTATTTCATCATGCATGTGATGTTTCCCTAGCAACAACAACATTCCCGTCGTAAACACTGGTAGTCTATAAATAGAATATGCCAATTATAAAACATCATACAATGTACATTTACATCACATATAGAGTATCTTTAACTATACATATATATATATATATATATATATATATATATATATATATATATATATATATATATATATATATATATATATAATTTTGTAATATATCAAAACAGTGATTAACATAACATGATTCCTCATATTTGTTGAAGTAAGAAGAAAAAAAAAGGAAAACCGGATATTTTTCTCATGAAAAACCTATTTATCATGGTAATTTTTGAAAAAACTTTGATTTCTGGTATCTTTATTTTTACTATTATGGCTGCCTATACATTGATCATACAAAAATAAGTGCAACAAGGTGAAATAGTAAAAGTACCATTATTTAATAAAACATGTGCACCAAATAAAGAAATACAACAATGGGTAACACTTACATGAGGTAAACTAACATTTTATTCAAGATACAACCCATTACAAATGTTTCTTTTATTTGGTTTTACGGCACACCAACATCATTTAGGTCATATGGCGTTGAAACAAGAATTTCCAAAGAAGTTTTTTACCCTCAAGTATTACAAAATTACAGCAACACCAGGGGTTAAAATCCTCTCACCTGCTGGAGCTTAGAAATGCATAGACTCCAGTAATTCAAACCCATTGACTAGCCTCTTATGATCACGCAGGGATAAACAGTAGCAGCAATTCTGATGCCACAACCCTTATAGGCAACCCCCAGCCACAAGGGGACCATTACAAACGTAAGTAATTCTAGATTTTATGCATATTGTACCTACCCAAAACCAAACAGGTAAAACCAGATTTTGAACCGCAGTACAAAGCAGAGACTTCTGCAATGAAGCAGGTACAAGACCACGGACAACACGGCAGTGAAACATCGACTCGACAAAACTCCGACAATCAGTATGATGAACTGTGTGTAGTGCTCCCATGCTATCTTAGTGTCTAGTCCATCATATATGATCATTCCAATACAAGATAATGTCTGAAAAAAATACAGAAAATACATTGTTTTATACATATAATACTTCTTATATAACACAAAGAGACAAATTAGGTAGTGAGATTACCATCATTCAATAAGGGCTACATCAAGGGCTATAACTCTGATGGTACATACAAAACCAAAATATATAACAAGCCATCCAAATGGAGATTCATATACCTTTCGGTAATTTCATTCCTACACTAAAGGAGCAAAGTACAAAATACCTTAATTCTTAACAAAGTCAAGGGCAACAACTCTGAGGTTACTATTGTGGTGTAATATTCTCAAATAAAATAAAAAGATAAAATATAATATTATTATATCATATAGATCATTTTTTCCTGATAAATATTTGACACAAGTTTGGAAGATTGTTTTATTTACTAAAATTTTCCAGAAATTTGTATTTAAGGACGAGAGAAGGCTGCAACTTGGGGAATTGAAAGTTCATCTTGTATATATCTTGTTACATAATCATGTACAGTGCATTTTTTACTTGCTGCGGTAATTATTTCAACACCTACATGAATTGTCAAATATGCATTTAAGTGCTACGATGTCTACTGTTATTTATATGTTATGTTGTAGACATCACATCCTGTTTACTTTATGTTTACATACTACAATTAAGGTACGAACCTGGAGAGACATATTCTTATACTGTGAAATCATTTGTATTCGTGGGCATGAAATTTCGTGGTTTTATCAAAACTGGCATTTTCGTGGGTTCTTAAATTCGTGGATTTTCATTTTCTTGTAAAAAAAGCAATGGAAAGTAATCTTTCACTTAATCACCGCGCTGTTTTACTTACCGCGTGTATATAACACAACTCTTGTCAATTAATTTAATCCTTGCCTTTGGCAATAACAATGTTACTGCCGATAATTGATAGCAATTAACACGTTTGTGTGCCATGATAAGCAGCTCCATTGGTAACACTGTCCCTATAATTCGCCAATGTAAACATCGCCTAAATTATACGATATCTGCCACTTTTTAACCAGCGAATCGGTCCAAAACTACACACTACGTCACATCGACTGTGTAAATTTATATGCATATAAATTAATCAGAATAAGTGCCTAAATACAGTTAGATATGTATGTGTGTGTCTAGTAAAAAGACGACGGCTTCTTTGATATTTTCGGAGTAGCAGTCACACAAATTCACATTGAAATTTATTTAAATGGATCATATAAACACTAGTCGTGTAAAGATCCCATATTTACTCGATTATGCAAAGTATTCTAGCTAATACAATCAAGTAGCCTATAGCGATCAAGTACTAGTAGTCCCCCTGATGTTTATATGCGACGAACATTTATGACAGCAAATCGAAGATATACAATCGATTTTTTTTCAAGTTTCTTAAATTTTGCAAAACTAAATTAAAAATTTTATGGATCTAATTTGTCACTGACCTGATTATTAGTATACATTCAAACATGTACCACAAGAATCGGCCGGAAAAGCGCCGACGCATGTTGTGATAAATGGAACAGAGAAATGGTAAAAAGTATATGTTGAGATAAAATTTCGTCGGGTCTTAAATTCGTGGATTGACCTATCCACGAAAACCACGAAAATTAGTGCCCCACGAATAATAATGATTTCACAGTATTACACATATTATGATTCTCGATATTGGTGCCGTGACCAGGATTCTCAATGTTATACTGTAATTTTATAAGATAAAATTGGTAAGGCAAAGAGATGAAAACAGCAAACCATAGAGACATGATACATGGTGAAGATATTTTGATAAAAGTCATTATCTCTTACCTGACAAAATACTAGACACAAAAGGAAGTGATGTGGCATCTTTTTATGTCGTCTGCTGAGACAAATCACGAAGAAAATCCAAACCTGTACGTAAAAGCAGTGACAAAGTTTAAACACAGTAATTCTAATCTTTACTCTAAAGAAAATAGTTCCTTCTTAAACCTGTCATAATCCCGCCCTTTTTTATCCCTTCTATAAATGTCCATTTACAGGCGTTTTCCTGCAAAAAAAACAGTGTTACTTTCCCAAATTTTAACGGATGGCCCCTTCCTTTTTTGAAGGACCTCAGTTTTAACACTTAGCCTACTGAATTTATGAGAATTTATCAATTAAGAGGATATCAAGTTAATCAGGCAACAGTATAGAGCCTGGTCAGACTGCAGGGGTGAGCAAAAACCAAAGCCTTGTCAAACTGGTCTAGCTCTATTATGGTAGCACAGGTTAATCACTTTGGGGTCACAGAGGGATAAAAGAATTAACAACTTACATTGCACACGAGAGATACAACACTGAGATCAAAGGATGTATCCACTAGCAAGGCTTTGTAGTCCATCTCACTGTTTACTACAACAGTCATCATCTTAGCTGATACAAACATCAGAGGTGCCGACAGGAACGTACATGCTACCATACCTGTAGCTACCTACAAAAATAAATGCAAAAATTTATGCATGATATAAACTTGTGCATGACATTATGCTCAAATTTCCATTGTCAAGTTCAGCTGAATGGACTACATATTTCTAAAGATTTACTGTTTTAATAGTGATTGACTAACAGTTGATACTGAAACATGTTAAGGATAAAATACAAATCTGCCTAAAATATAAAAAAGACTGCCCTACTCTTTTTATCAAATGAATATTACAGGTAAATTCTGATGGATATTAATAGAAATTTCCTAAGGTAAAGTGAGTTTTTTTATCATTCAAGCCAAGTAAGTTATAAAATTTAAAGAAATTATGGCAAAATGTGAACTGTTATTTTCACTTCACCTGTACACTCACTATAGAGTAATACCACTGGATGGGCATTATGTCACTCTAAAAGTCTGTAATTTTTGCTGCTGTTGGGTTTTTTTTTTTTTTGGTTTTGTTTTAAGTCACACCAACAAAGTAAAAGTCCTACTTATATAGCAATTGTTAAGCTTTTTTGTTAGGTTGATTTCACACTGATTTTAACATATTTTTTTAGTCATATCTCTAAAGTCAGTCCACCTTAGCTCGGTCCATGATAACTAACCAGTAGTTACCAAATTCTCTGCAAGTAACTGACTACTTATACGACATCATTTCTGGATTAGCTGTACATGAGACACTAAATGTCCTAGATCAACTGTCATGGAGAACTTTTGGTTTGTTTAAGGATCTAACCAGCGTCCCCTTGACAGCAAACCTGATGCTCTCTCTATTCAGATAAGGGGTCAGATTGATAACTATCCAGTGATTTTTTTCACTTAATTGGGAAGAGGCCTTAGCCACTTGATTTTGGGAAAATTTATCACTAAGATTGCTTATTTAGGGAAGTAAAAAAAGCAGGTTTAAGTTCAGATTTTTGGGAAAACAGCATGATTTTAAAGAAAATTTCAATTGGGAAGAGGCCTTTTATTGGAGTCTGTTATATAAGCAGGAAAATCACTGCTATCAAATGTAACAGTATTCAACATTACTATGCTACATTGGAACCTACTTAGGTAAAAGGTGAGTGATTCAGTCAGTTATTGACTTGTTTAGCAAATTATACGTTTCAACTATGAAAGTCACAAATTCTTACATAACATAATTATACAACTTTACTCACAATGTCCTGAGCCACTGAGAAATGACTAGCGTAGAGGAACACAGAGGGCGCTGTTGGAAACGTCCCATACAGGAAGCCATACATACTGAGAGGTTTGGAGTTATTCATCTGGTTCATTTCAAGGGCACCAACAACTTGCCATGTAATACAAGGAAGTAAAAGCCTGAAATAGAAAAATAGTCAGAGATGTTTTAATGAATCAACATACATCAAAAAGGCTTTAGATTCAATACTATATTAATCCTATTTGTTTAATTTTGTGAATACTGGTAATTCAATGGAATGGACTTGCCAGTTGTTCATTTATGCAATAGGTTTTCTTCATAGCCAAGCTCAATAGCATATCATATGTTTTAACTAAACAAAGAAAGCATCCAAGAATATCTGTTTAAGACTAAACAGTTCATTATCATTTTGAAGATTATGATATAAATAGATTTGAATACCTTTGCTATGTTGATCTGAGCTAATCTATTTTTAGACAAAAAAACTTTTAGTTACCTTACACTGTTAACTATTACTAGTTTGTATTATTCTCATGGCTGGTAAAATCAAATTTTGCTTAACTGGTCTGTATTCTTTACTAGTCCGTATGATATAAATAAAACAAAATCTGGAAAAGTTTGTCTGTACAGGCTACTGGACAACCTGGGCAAAAAAATTCATTTTGCCGTCTTTGATTTTATTCAAAAGTGCAAGTGCATAAAAATAACCAACCATTATCTATCATAATATGGTATCATTATAAAGTAAATGTTCAACAGAAATTCTTACGTTTTTGCTCCTATCAGAAGCATTGGACCAATGAGATTGACTCCCAGTTGACCTTGAACTTTACCCACCAGGCTCAACCCAAGATAAAACAAAGCTGTAGCACTGTATGCATTTCCTGAAAATTTGTAATATAATATTGTTATTATCCTGACCTCCACATTCATGCTGGAACAATGAAAATGAAACTACACCAAGATATAACTTATTAAATTGTTGCATATTAATGGTGGGTTATTCACCTGCTGTAAGAATCTAAACATTTAATTACTCAACTTTATGCACATGTAGATATCAGCAATACGAAAGTATTTGAACAAAGCAAAGAATTTTGCAACAAATATAGTCAATCAAATTATTAATTTCTTTCTTATTCAAACAAATGAGCCGCGTTACGACAAAACCAACATTATGGGATTGCGACCAGCATGGATCCAGACCAGCCAGCGCATCCGCACAGTCTGATCAGGATCCATGCTGTTCGCTATCAGTTTCTTTACATGTTATAAAGTCTGTAAGCAAACAGCATGGATCCTGATCAGACTGCGCGGATGCCAAGGCTGGTCTGGATCCATGCTGGTCGCAAACCCATTATGTTGGTTTTGTCGTGACGCGGCTCAAATTATCTTTACACTCCCTTCCTCAATAATAAAGAAATATGATATCAAATCGGTTCTTACCAAGTTTTGAGATGAAATTAAATAAGAAAATAAAAAAAAAATTTAAAGAGCAATCTTACCAAGAACTTCAAGAATGTCTCCAATCACTGTGGGCACATTCTGTTTGAACAGGAAGTTGCCGGCTATCCCGATAAGCACCATGAAGACAATAGGATTGGACAGTACATCTTTGGTCACATGTAGTACCAGGTGACATTTTCCGCTGCGCTGTGACACATCAGCGTTACGTCGGTGTATCTCCAACATGGTGAATCCAACCGGATTTAGGAAAAGCAAGGAGATTGGTGCAATAAGATAGATATATTGCAAATATTCCGGGTTGCTCTCCGAATACAAAGCTTTCACTGCAAAAATAAACATAAAATGGTCTCTTCTAACATAAAATCCTTACACACATTTGTCATGTTCTTTCATAAAATTGTAATGTTTTTCATAATATAAAGCTGTCATGTTCTTTATACATAAAATTGTCATATTTTTAAAAAATAGACATGTTTTTTTTATAAAAGTAACAGTGTAATAAAATACTAAATCAAAGACCAGTAGGCAATCTTTAGTAACTGTGTTAAAAAATCAAAATTTCAAAAGTCAAATATCAAAATTATTATGTTAAATAAAATCAACGTAATATAGCATGCCAATTATTTAGAAATCTCAATTTAATAGCAACAGGATAGTGTAATTTGAATGATATCATTTATGTCTTTAAGAATCTTATATACTGAACCAAAAAAGAAACTTTCGCAAAGTATGTGCCAGTTGTTCAAGGGTACTACTTAGATGTACACACTTATATACATGTAGTAGCTTGTAAAACTCGTTTTGTTTGCAAAATCGGTCAGCTAATCCCCGTATAAAAGCCCGATATGTTTATTCACCGTAAAAATCGAGTTTCAAAAGGATTGAAAAACTGTACTAACATATCTACATTCAAACTTGGAGAAAGTTTCTTTTTTGTTTCAGTATACATGTTATATCTATTTCAAGGATTTGTTGTTTAATTGATTGGGTTTTACGTCACACCAACACAGTTATGGTCATATGGTGACGTTCCAGCTTTACTGGTGGAGGAAGAACTCAAGTGCCCTTCTGTGCATTATTTCAGGCATGAACTTAGTAGAACCATCGACGTTCCATAAGCTAGCTGGATAGCTTCCTCACTATTTCAAGGAAAAAATTAAGTAAAATTGAAAAATAAAATATATAAATGATAATATATATCATATGTAGGACTTACAAATAGGATACCCAAGAGCAAAATCATTGCTCTGAGTGGCAAATATAGCAAACATCCCAGCATACCCTAAATGCATCGGTCTACGTATAAGCAAAGTCAATACCACCACTATTAAAAACACGCCTGTTTTTGAGATTGCTATTCCTAGTAAAAAGTACCAATTCACTTGATCGAAGTTCAGCTCAACCATGCTTTTGAACAACAAGGCTGGCAAACAAAATTTTCCAACAAATGTCCCTATTCCTTGACCCTGAGACTGGGTGATCAGGTCAGCCCTCCCGGCAATATAACCAGCAAGAATAATAGTGAAGCACTGAAATATGGCTGGATAAAGGTTATCTATAGATAGTGCCCCTGAATGGGTGACTGTGCTGTTTGTTATATTGGTTTCCATGGTTGCTACTAGAGTGTTGCTAAGCAACGCGGTTGAGTTCGCCATGTTCAGCTGGTTGATGGAAGGTTCCTACAATTTATCTTATCTAAACCCTGAAAAGAGAATACATTGCATGGAATATACTGAATATAAATATATAAAACCTTATTGATAACTCTAATGTCAGTGATAACTAAGCTTTGACGTTAATTTAATACAAAAGATTACAGAAGTACACAAATAGCCCTGATATTTGGTTAACCTAGTCTGTCTCACTTTTTTTTCTTACATTGAACAACCAAGCACATGTTTATAGAGCTCATGCAGACAGGGACTAATGCACTCCCTGAGCCAGTGAGCCAATTTGCTCCAAAATTGATTAATTAGCTCAAGAAAATCTCAATCGGCCCATACTTAGGATAAAAATGACTTTCTGAATCATCAGTCTAATTTTTTATCCCTTTACTTTAAGAATTGAAACAAACGGTTTTGGTTGTCTAACTACAACTTCAGTTTTACTGCTATTCCTCTTTAAACAAGCGATACAGAGCAGCAGTTAAATTCAATGCAGTCTATGTGATCTTTGACAAATTTATGCCATTCTGCTTAAATTTCTGAAAATCAGTAAATAGTAAACATCTTATTTAAACCATGTAGTGGTGTAAGTTTAACAAATTATTATTTTTTACGATAGATGTTTACAACTGTATCTGAATTAATTTGATCAAAAATAATGTGATATGTATGGATTAAAATTTAGACCTGGTTACACTTAGTGACTTACAGGGAAATGACATGACTGACCCCCACTGAATGCCAGTATTATAAATGAAGTGTCTTACATGTCACGTCATGAGCAGTGTTAAGAAGGAATAGATAAAGACAACAAATTACAGTTCTATGAAATAAATGGTTAAGGTGGAAAACTTTGATGTTTTTATAAAATAATAAATATTCCTTTACTACCTACCCCAAGTTTTACAAAAACTAAATTGTTCATAATGAAAATCTGTAGCCTGCCATTATAAATACAGATCTATTAATAGGGGTGTGGATTGTCGCTTAGGTGATGATCTGATCCAATTGATGATTCAGCACTTGCGATTCACAAATTAAACCATGAATCTTTTATCAAGACACCCATAAAAACATGAACATTAGTTCTGAAAACATGTTTAATTTTCTTTTAACAATTATGACACTAAACATTAATTTCATTAAAGGTTGAAACGAGTTGCGCCAATATACAATTCCACAAATTTCCTTCCAGTGTTAGGAAATACTTTGGTATTTCAATTGGAAATGAGAGAAAAGAAGTTTGTAAAACATGCTAGGCGAACTGACTTATACCGGTGGTACAACAAACTTGTCATATCACATTTCCAAACATAATAATTATTGGTGGAATTTTATATTGGTGCGACTCCTTTTCAGCCATTGTTGCAGACAGGATGTGTGACATCACACTCATGTATTGAATAAAACCGTCTTCGTTACATGTCAGTGATGTCACCTTCTTATAAATCTATACATAGGGACTACAAACATTTATCAATTTTCATGTAAAAACATAGTGTTCAATAGAGATAAAATGATTCCTTTTCATTCGTGATTATCTGAGTACTTGGATATCGCCTCAGCCCTATCTATTAATATATTGTGTGGAATTGTTTCTATGATGGTATTTTATTTTTTCATTATTTATTTTATTCCAAAAAATGACCAAAAACATACTTAATCAATAATACACCATATGTCCCACAGTTAACATTTTTGTTGAATTTTTTGTGAATTTCCAACAGCTGCCCTTAATTACAAAATGTACACAGTGTTTGTTTCCTCTTTCAGAACAATGAATGAACTAGTCCAATAAATTAGACGTTACAGTCTTGTTATAGTTTTATGTCGGTCAAGCCTGACGTCTAATAGTTATTCAAAACATGCCTATTGTCTTGCCTTTCAAGCTTTATTCAAAAGGTTATCTTCTTTTCTTTCAATTTCATGCTCAATCATAAACCAAAATTCTCAAACAAGAAACATGGCAATGCCATGAAACCAGGTTTTCTATTATCACCATTGTAGATAAATATATTGTATTTGAAATACAAATACAAGCAACAAACAATGTAACTATGTGCAATGTAAAACATGAATAATGTAGGAGGAATTGCCACTGAAGAAGTGTTCACTATATATTATGCATAAGGAAAAAAACAAAGGGCCATAATTAGGTCAAAAATTATCCAATCACAAAACCCCGACAATATGTGCCAGGGTGCTTGATGACAAAGCTTCTGTGAAAGTTTGAACAAAATCCGTTGAGAAATGTAGGACGAGTTCAGCACAGAAGAATTTGTTCACTATAATTATATTGATAATTCTGTATAATGAAAAAAAAACAAAGGGCCATAATTAGGTCAAATATTATCCAATCACAAAACCCTGACAATATGCGCCAGGGCACTTGATGACAAAGTTTCTGTGAAAGTTTGGTCAAAATCCTTTGAGAAATGTAGGAGAAGTTGCGCACGATAGAAATTGTTCACTATATATTCTTTATAAGGAAAAAAAACAAAGGGCCATAATTAGGTCAAATATTATCCAATCACAAAACCCCAACAATATGCGCCAGGGCACTTGATAACAAAGCTTCTGTGAAAATTTGGTCAAAATCCTTTGAGAAATGTAGGAGAAGTTGCGCACGATAGAAATTGTTCACTATATATTCTGTGTAAGGAAAAAAAAAAAAGGGCCATAATTAGGTCAAATATTATCCAATCACAAAACCCTGACAATATGCGCCAGGGCACTTGATGACAAAGCTTCTGTGAAAGTTTGAACAAAATCCATTGAGAATTGTAGAGGGAGTTCAGCACAGAAGAAATTGTTCACTAAATATTCTATATAAGGAAAAAAAACAAAGGGCAATAATTAGGTCAAATATTATCCAATCGCAAAACCCCGACAATATGCCCCAGGGCACTTGGTGACAAAGGTTCTGTGAAAGTTTGCTCAAAATCCGTGGAGAAATGTAGGAGGAGTTGCGCACAGAAGAAATTGTTTACTATATATTCTTTATAAGGGAAAAAAACAAAGGGCCGTAATTAGGTCAAATATTATCCAATCGCAAAACCCCGACCAAAACCCTGACAATATGCGCCAGGGCACTTGATGACAAAGCTTCTGTGAAAGTTTGAACAAAATCCATTGAGAATTGTAGAGGGAGTTCAGCACAGAAGAAATTGTTCACTATATATTCTATATAAGGAAAAAAAACAAAGGGCAATAATTAGGTCAAATATTATCCAATCGCAAAACCCCGACAATATGCCCCAGGGCACTTGGTGACAAAGGTTCTGTGAAAGTTTGGTCAAAATCCGTGGAGAAATGTAGGAGGAGTTGCGCACAGATAGAAATTGTTCACTATATATTCTTTATAAGGAAAAAAAAACAAAGGGCCGTAATTAGGTCAAATATTATCCAATCGCAAAACCCCGACAATATGCCCCAGGGCACTTGATGACAAAGCTTCTGTGAAAGTTTGGTCAAAATCCGTTGAGAAATGTAGGAGGAGTTGGGCACAGAAGAAATTGTTCACTATATATTCTATGTAAGGAAAAAAAACAAAGGGCCATAATTAGGTCAAATATTATCCAATCGCAAAACCCCGACAATATGCGCCAGGGCACTTGATGACAAAGCTTCTGTGAAAGTTTGGTCAAAATCCGTTGAGAAATGTAGAAGGAGTTGCGCACAGAAGAAATTGTTTACGCCCCGCCCGCCCATCCGCCTGCCGACATACCTCAATCTAATAACCAGTTTTTTCCTTCAGAAAACCTGGTTAAAAATATACTTATCCAGGGTTCTCACTAGGACTTTAAAACATGGAGTCCATGAACTCCCAACCCTGAAAAAGTTGGAGTCCAAAAGCGTGTCGCAATCAATATGTTTACAGATTAGTCATTCAATGCTCACAATAGCATTGCTGATATTTTGAATCTTCAAGAGACTTCCAAAGTTTATAGTTATTCAAAAGAAACTCGGAAATACATAGTATAATTATTGTTTTGTTGTTGATATTTATTATGAAATTATTTCATTATAATGCATCAACACATGGAAATCGTTTGTTTGTTGTTTTTTTTCACTTTTATACCAAATCAAATTTTATTCTGGTTAAATAAGTCCACTCTAAAGACAAAAAGTTTATATTTGTAAACAAAAAACGTAAATGTATATAGGCAGCGTTTAGCGGAATGAATAGGAAAATCTTGTACAGCTTCAAACAGTGTGTAAGAGATTCATCCGATCGACAATTATTTTAGCAAATATCTTCAAAAGGGGGCAAATTGAAGATCGATATTTAAAGATTTAATGTTGATTAAATAATAAAGGAACAATTCATTCGCATGTTTGGCTTGGAAACCGAGAATTTTTGCAAAATTTTAGGGTTTCTGGCGAACGTGAAATCGCCGATGTTCGGGATCAATTTTCGGATAGAATCTAAATATCAAAGAAAAGCGTATGTGTATTTTGGTTTGTTGGCACAATATCTTAAATTCTTAATAGTCTTATCGAAAGTTTTTGCAAAAATGAAACTACTGTAAAGCATAATTGTGCATAGAAAATGCCCAAAATATTTGACAATCATTCAAAATTACACTCATTTGTCATTTGAGAAACAGTCTTTAAACTTGCGGCGTAAATAGTCGATAATTTTATCCTTTTGTCGGTAAAATTTGCTTATTTCCAATCAACTGTTGAATTATCACCTCGTGTTATATCTGGTAATTACAAGTCATGTACTGTACAGCGCGTGTATACATTAGTCTGATCACTATTGCGTGATAATGATCGTAAGCATTATTGCTGATTGGCTAATCGCTTCACGGGGTCGATGTGCATAGGACCGCCTACCTATAGACTGACACACGCTGGTGCATTTGTGTATTTCTGGTTGTAAACAATCGGTAATGTTTATGCGTCCCCAGGCAAAATTAAGCGTAAGTGGAATCCTTGCTCTGAAATATTTGCGTCCAGCTGTAATAAACATGCGTACAGGGACGCCGAAATAAGCGTCCCTGAGAACCCTGCTTATCAATTTAAAATAAAATATAAACATCATTCTACTTAAGTCTATCGGCCATAAGTACAGCGTTTTACAGATTGGTTCCAAGTTTTTGAACGGAAATTATATTCGATCACGCTGACGGTGCATAGCAAATTATTTCGTTAAAAAAATATAGAATCCGTTAAAATCTTCTGATTCAGTTAAACGCTTGCATTTGAATTAGCCAATCAGATTTCGCGCACTGTAGAGAGGCCATTTGTTTATCGGCTGTATAAGGAATTTTTATTACATGAGAGGATTAAATCATGATTTTTCGGATGTGACAGTTTAATTATTTTGTCAAAAGGTATTTATTTTTAAGTTTTGTTCAAAAATTGGTCAAAATTAATGTAAATACACACTGTTTTGTTTTTTCGTTCCGCCTGATTTTCTGGTGAAACGTGCTATGGGTTTTTGAGCAATTTTGATATGATGTTGCTTTGCCCAGGAGCAAAACTATCTCAAACTTCAAAGTGATTTCATATTTATAGCGAGCTCGACGAGCTGGCCCGAAGGGCCTGCTCGCAAAGCGAGCTTTACGGTAACGCGAGTACCTGCTAAGTGATGGTTTTGAAAACTTTCGTCCGAAGTACCAAATTGGACACATCGCAACTTTTCAAATTTAAAGATAACGATAAAAACTGAGGAATTCTGACTGAAAACGGATGTGTAGACTGGTCACCCGCGCACGTCTATGGGAACCATAATTGGACAGGGAACCAGAACAACGGAAGCTGTGTATAAAATAACGAATGACAGTTTTAAAACGGAAAATGTAAATTGAAAATTGAAGGCGCCATTTTGTTTGAAAAATCTGATAAATAAAAACATTTTTTTGTCGAATTTTGTTGTAAAAACTATCTAGAATGAAAGAAAATGGTCTAACTAAGAAAATGAATCCGAACACCAATATCTTTTATTCAGTCGTTAACGCTGTACAGACGTTTAAAGTATTGTTTACGTGACGTCACAATGTAGCGCCAAACAGCACGTGCAAAACAATCAAATCAATTACGCTATTTTAATGTCGCAAACGTTTTAGATTTAACATTTATTTCACTTTTAATAATCTTTATTTCGCTTGAAAAATTATAGAGTGAAATAAAAGAAACAAACAAAGTTTTATCAACGTTTCCAAAACTCAGGGGCGGAGCCATATTAACACAGTCCGTGTGACGTCACACGCACTCGTCACTGCATTTGAAATAAAAATGAGCGATTATTTCATACTGATTCACGTTAAAAGTACATCGAGCTCGATTTGAGGCTTTGCCTTTTTCATATTAGGAGTTTAGGACTATAATGAACATTTCTGACCAAGAGAAACATGTATACAATATTGCCTGAAGTTTAAACTCATAAAGCATACAGATAGGACAATTAAAAGACATGTTTGGAATGGGAGTGTGATTTAATATTTAATTTTTTCGCGAATTTTCATTACAAATTCAACAATTAAAGAATAATAATGTTATTCGGTTATAATTGTTCAAGTTAATATACGAAATATGAAAACAAACGTTATACTTACATCAACTATGCCATATTTTGTGTTGTTCTATAGAAGAATGTATTAAAAATAACAAAATATGTCAAAAAAAATATTTTTTTGTTGTTGTTGTCGCCGTCAAGTGCGTGTAAATCGCTTTATCGTGGAAGTCACTTTCATTATTTAGGTTTCAAACCACTAAATATTTAATTTTTCTTCAGAATATATTTTTGATTACCAGAGGCAAATATTCACACTATTGCATAATGTACAGTGTAAAAATGGTCTCATAGCTGTATCAATATTTGCCCAATCATGCTGAAATGTTCAATAAATACAGAAAAGAGACACGTTATCATTTTTATTCAGTTTTTTTTTTCATTCAAGATATAAGTTTAATATGTAGATCTATTTCTTAAAAATGTGAGCGCGTGTCGAAAATCGATTGAGCAAAATTATGTCCTAATACCGCGTGTGCCCAACCTGACTGTGTATTACACTGTTACAGCCTGGCAGCGTCGTGGCATCGATGCTACATGCCGTTGTAGATAATTTTGGGGTCGGCGAGGAAGGTTATCAACGCGCCATAATGCTCTGCACTTAATGATTAGCCCTCTTATGGTATTACGCTGTACACCAATGCGTTGCACAGACTACAAATGATACAGACATGTAATAAGTAAATAAAAATATGCATTTTTTATGTTCGTCTTTGGTAGAAACTGACTTTAAATGATTTTCGGGTTTTACAATGCAAAGGAATTAAAATAATTATATTTAAACAAATAAATTTTGTTACCAACCTCTGTGTGGTGTACTCCAGCGTTGACCAAACGTAGGGCTATGCCACGCTGTTGTATAAATAATCTACACATGTTATGTTTTTCTGATATGTGGATCTCTGTCGTATCCGGGAATATCATGTACAATCGTATTTCACCCATTCACACATTTTTTTCGTGCATTGTGTGAATTTCGTGCGTCCATGGTTGAACGCGCCGCATAATTAAAATTGACAAGCTTGAGTACGGGAAAAGGGTGGAAATGCAGCCAATAGTCAGAACACAATATTTTGTAAAAATAATTATTGACGAACGAAAAAGTTATGAGGACATAAAAGGTGCACACTTATAAGATTTGCTAAGTGTGCTTTTATTTATTTTGGATTTGGGGAATGTAGACAGTGCCCCCGTCAAGGGCCGCTAAACTTGTTGATAAGAAAAAACAGATCCAATATATGGGAAATTACAAAAATGGAGGAAATTCAACGAACAGTAAATAGAATAATAATATATATCTAAAGTGTCAGTCTGGGAACTAAATTAAAAAAAAAAGGGCAAATGGTTTAAAAAAATGAGAAAAAAGTCTGCACAAATACACTTCTAACATAGAAGGGAATAATAAAAGCGAAATTATAATACAAATGAATGAATAGAATTTCTACAACTAAAAAAAACAGAGGCATAACATAATATCAAAAAATATGAGAGGTAATCTCAGAACTAAAGAAAATTACAAAAATATTGAGATGTGATCAACGAAAGCTTTAGGAAACAAAAAGGGAGGGGCAATTGAGAATTGTAATTAACTGATTAAAACTGTTTTCAAAATCTGCAAGATTAAACGTTGTATAAAGTATGCCCCTCAAAGTTTTTCTAGGAAATATATACCAGCCTCTCAGAAATTTCAATTCAGGAGATATGTAAACACGTTTGAAATAGGAGTACCTAAGAATATTTGTTAAGTGTATGTAGCTTGACATTTTCCTTACTAAACCTAAATTAAAAAAGGTATGGCGTTCTGTGATGGGGCCGGTCCATAGTTCATAAGAACGTTAATCCGTTCGTACGTACGTCAATTCTTACATGTCCGATCTATGACTTAATAACTTGTGTAGGAATAAGTCTTGATTTATTTTAATTGGTAGGGACATTGTCCATGGCCAATAGATAACCGTAATCGTTTTTGAGGTGACATTGACCTTGACAACAAAAAGTTTGTTCTTCCAATAACTAAGGAACGCTTTTGCCAACAGTCCTAAGAAATGGGTTGGAGGTTGGCCATGAATAGTAGATTACCCATTTAAATTGTAAGGACATTAGCTAGGTCAAAGGTGAATGTCACCGTGACCTTGTCAACTAAAAGCTTGTCCAATTAATAGCAAGAAAGCACTTTATCGTACACTCCTAAGATTTGGTGTGGGTGTTAAGTTTTACTTGCTGCTGATCCCTATTGATTTTTAGGTCAATGGTACTGGTCATGGTGACAATGCCACTAAAAGTTTGTCATACAATAACTAAGACACATTTCAACCTTCAAGTATAGGTTGGTCATGACTAGAATATGACCCCTGATGATTAAAGGTCATATTGTAAAAGGTCATGGTCATAGTCGCATTGTAAAATATTTATGTAATCAATCACTTGCGAAGGTTTACGCCATTTTTGTACATTCGAAGGGACATTGTCCATGGGCAGAGGATGCCCACTTTTGAATTTTAGGTCATTCGGCCAAAAGTCAAGGTCACAGTGACACTTGTAGTAAATTTCTTGTCTTATCAATAACTTTGTTTTGAGAAGTAACAAGCGTACGTTTATGAAATTCTGAAGGAACATTGTCCATGGTCTGCAAGATACACCTATTGACTTTGACCTTTTATTAAGGTCCATGTCACAGCGACGCATGAAACAGACTCTTTACGTCAGTTGTAGGCATTGTCAAGGTAATATTTTTGCCAGAATTCATCGGGTATAGATCTTAAAGTAGTCTAAATAAAGATTATCACCTGTTTATTCAAGTTCGTTTGAAAATTTAATGAGTCTTTAGGGTTATGTAAAAAAGTAAAACCAATCCTGTCAGCAAACAGTAAACATATTGAACAACGCCTGAATTGAAATATCAATCAATTTATTAAAATGCAGAAATTAACAAAGCTCTCACTCAATACAAAATAATATAAAAACACATGCAAAAGAGGATTCTGTCTGTTCGCCTGAAAATGAAAGAGAGAAAAGGACCGTTATTTATAAATCCTTATTGATGCAAAATAGATGAGATCATATATAAATATGGGTACTTAATAATAAAATCGCAATAATACGGTCATTTCTCCTATGAAATCATGATATTTTTTAATGAAATATTTTTAATAAAAATATAGAATTTTTTATGCCAATTTTTTGATTTACTTATTGTTTGTAATGAAAATAGTTTTAGTGACCTACTTTCTAAATAATTATGGAAACTGTTTTATTAGAAGTATGTAACGAACTTTAATTCACCCTCAAAGTTACAGGTAAAATTTCAGGTATGTTTATGTACTTACTTCTTAATCATTCGGAAGTCCTTGCTCATTGTTATCGTTTGATACAACTCCATGCACATCTATAATTATAAATAAAAAAAACATATGTAGAGGATATTGAATGCGTGTAGGTTCATTACTATTGGACGATTTTAAAAAAATCATATTAGGCAAGCCTCTGGCAAGCATAACATTTTTTTGTTCAACGAGTTCAATAAATTCTGTATTGAACTTACACGAATATAATATTCGATTTATCACACACCAAAAAATAAATACTGTTCAAAATGAAAAAGATTCATTTCTTTCATTCACGCGCTCATAGTGTAAACGCTGCAATGTTAGAGTTACACTATGAGCGCGTCAATGAAAAAATAAATCTTTTTCATTTTAAACCGTATTTATTTTTTGGTATGTCATAAATATAATATTATATTCCTATCAGTTCATAACTGGATTTTTTCATATGTATTTTACCAGTATACAGATACATGTAAACCAGGCTGCACATCCGTGCATTCTGAACCAGTTCTGTACTTTTAGCTAACTTCTATAGAAAATTTTGCAGATTGGTGGACAGTTTTTTGTTGTTGTTTTTTTTTTTTTAATTGAAGGTTGAAAAGTCAGCAGATAAAGATAATTACGGCTTGCAAATATGTACAGTCTTACCAGTGCTGCTCTAGTTTAATCTATTTTTATTTCCTTTCAGGCTACCCCACAACACTACCTATTCTATTACAAGCATATGATATAGCAATGAAATAGAATGTCCCCAGGTTAAAATTTGCAAAGTGTGAAATATAATTATCTCCCATATTTGATACATTCAAAAACGTTTTTTGAACAAAAATAAAACAATTCTGTTTTAAACATGGAATAAAAAGCAGAAAAAAGCTGTAAACTCAAAATTTCCCAAGAAATTAAATATGATCTTTTTAAAGTTTCAAAGCGGACTTAATTGGATGAAAGACGATACCCGTTTAGTCTGCATTATTATTATCGTATATAAACCAATTCAAGACAAATCTGTGAAAAATAGCCTCCTTATTAATAACTATAAGGAAAAGGCATATTTTCAGTCTGCCCTTTATTAAAAGGGCGGACGCATTTTTCAGTCTGCCCTTTAATAAAAGGGCGGACAACTCTTTGTCCCTTTCTCGTACGAGAAGGGGAATCCTGTGATGCGTGTATGTGGTCGCACGGTCACTTTCCTGAATTGTCCTCGATGCATGTATGTGGTCGCATGGTCGAAAACTCTATTAGAAATTATAACGTCTTTAAAAATGCTTTAGAACTGTCTGGTGCAAAAATTTTAATGTTCTTAAAAAGTCCTGCTTAACTAAAAAGGAGTTCGAAATCCTAAATAGGACTTTGTTACTTTTTTGTAGTTTTAAAATTCTAATAAGGATTTATCACTTTTAATTAGGAGTTACAAAAGCCTAATTTCGACTTCGACACTCATAATTAGGAGAAATAAGCCTACTTACAATTTTGTAAATCTTAATAAGAAGTTTTAAAAAGCCTATTTAGGAGAAATAATAAATAAAATTAGGAGCTGGGAAATAAAATCTTAAATAGAAGGGGCTTCAACCTAATTTGAACTTTGTAACTTCTAACTAGGTTTTTATACAAGGAACAAATAAGAATTTCATTTCTCCTAATAAGTTTTTGTAACTTCTAATTAGGTTTTTACACAAGGATCAAATAAGAATTTCATTTCTCCTAATAAGTCATTAAAACTAATACACAAAGTCTTAATTATAGTAAAAACGTCACGCCAACACAGTAAGGTCATATAGCGACTTTCCAGCTATACAGGTAAGAAGACCTCCGGTACCTGTCCGTGCACGAAAGGAAACTTTTAAAAGTAGACCCCCATGTTCCTAGCTTCCTCACATGAAAAAAAATCTAAGTCCCTGTCGCGATTTGAACCCACAGAAGATGTAGATCGACACTAGTCTAATTGCATAAATACGCAAAGCAATATACTTAAAACATGAGTATTAAATATGCACTTAACATGTAGAGTAGATCATAGAAAGCATGGAATAACATAAATATTGATGCTGTTAGTAAATTGTATTTAGTATCGTGTGTGATAATGAAAGAATAATATATTAGTAATTCATCATATAAATGTCGTGTATTAAATCATGTAGAACTAGATAGACTTTTTTTATTAAGAACTATTTTGTAAGAATACCCAAATGATACGTTTCTATTGTTTTTATCAATATTTGAAATATTTCTTGAAAAAAAAAGCCCATTGGAGACAAATCCACTTTAAAAAGCATTTTTTTTTATTTTGAGTTCATCAGATTAATCAGGACATTCATTGATGTCCAAAAGTTATTAAATATGTACAAACATTTACTCAATACTTAATATAATTTAATACCACTAGCTAGCTTCATTTTACATCTTGCGACATTAAACGATAGTGTTGCGACATTTAACAGCAAGGGAAAACCGTTCGACAGTAAACGTTATCATTGTGACATTTAACTGCAGAAGATTTTGCGACATTTAATGGCGACAAGTTCTGCAACATTTAGCGGCGTTGAGACATGTATATAACGGCGCCACACACATCATTTGAGCCGCGTCACGACAAAACCAACGTAATGCGTTTGCGACCAGCATGGATCCAGACCAGCCTGCGCATCCGCGCAGTCTGATCAGGATCCATGCTGTTCGCTTACCAACTCTTTTATAAGTAGAGAAACTGATAGCGAACAGCATGGATCCTGATCAGACTGCGCGGATTGCTAAAACGTCTTTATTGTAAAAAACATATTAATAAAGAATCAGGCAATAACTTACGGCTGATCACACTAGATGTCGTGGAAATAGTACCGTCTGCGTCCATTTGGAGCACGCTGCGGTTGTTTAGCAACTGTGCTTCAGACGCCAATTTTTCGGCGGCTGCTTGTAGAAGTCTTGCCACACAATCATCAGCTAAAAAGTAAGTAAAAAAAACAATTTTGTCAAAAATGTAATATACATATTTATTCTTAGAAACAAAATTTAAGCTCCTGATATATTCAAAAAAAAATTTAAGTCATGAGCACTTTTTAAGATAAAGGTGAGTGTATTATGTAAGAAGTTGTTCTGCTCAAATGTCCTAATAAAATTATATTGTTATCAAGAGAGACTCAATTCTTTCTTAGTATTTTAGAAAAAAATACTTTATAAGAGTATCAATGTGTAGTCTTGCACGTCTTTAATTACATTAAATTTTGGTCTCTTAATATTACACCATTGAATGAAACTAAGATTTATTTGGGACACCAATTTGATTACTTTGCAAAATTGCAGCATTCATTTGTGCTAAGACAAAATTAGCATTACAGGAAATAAGATGCCAATAAATAAAAAATTATTGTAAAAAATCAAACCTGTGACCGTGTCTTTTGCGGCAAACATATCAGGTATATCAATATAATTCTTGGACAACACCATATCCCGTGAGTCGGCCTCATTTAAGTCCGTCTCAGGATCCACTTGTTGGCCTCGTCTGCCGTAAAAGCGGCGACGGAGTCGGTTCATGGTTCGAGCCCACTGTTAACACAAAGCAACACAGATTATAATCCGGTTGGATAATTTCTGAAGTTATCTTAAGAAATCACGACTGTACCATAAGATTGAGCGAAAACAACGATTATCAATTTCATGTCCAGAAATTGTCCTTGATTGATTTTAATATTTTGTGTTTAATACTTGTTTGCTGCTTAAAGATGTCCACAAAGGCCTGGGTTTATTTCATTTTATTTATATTTTTTTTGTTTATTTGTTTGTTTTTCTTTCTTTTTTCTTTCTTTCTTTCTTTCTTTCTTTCTTTCTTTCTTTCTTTCTAAAATTATTCATTCATTCATTCATTCATTTATCAGTTTTTAAATAATAATTTAATTAATTAAACTTAGATACTCATATGTAAGTACATTCCCTTTCTAAAATACTTTGTTATACAAATCTTAGTGTATCACTTACTCTTTTATTACATGCTTGTTTTGCTCTCACACACCAAACAAAACATCCTGTTTTATCTTCTTCAGCCATTATGAAATAAGTTGCAGTTGTCAACGCCAATGTTCAGTATGTCTTCGTTGCTTGAAAACGACGTCAAAAATGACTATGACGTCATGACGTTGTTAAACAAAGGGAGATCACTGGAAAACTTAATTATTTGTAGGTTTATTCATATTTGTGTTAGAACTTTTGAATAAATTATTGTCTCGGTATTATTGTGCATTTGATTGGTCCACGTGATCAGTTATATGTTAAGAGTGCGTGTTAGCAATTAAGTATATATAGACATTTCATTGTCTGTAACTGGTTGTCTCCTTTGATAATAAATCGCGAATCGCCAAAACTTTCCTCATTGCAAAAGAGTTTCGTAAATTGCAATTTTGGGTTTGATAGCATTATTTGGACAAGGAAGTATTTTGACTTCATACATAATACTCATTCATTATAATTATACCAATTGCCAAAGATGTAAAAGATAGTTCATCTATATAGAAAAAG